AGATATAGTATAAAGCCTTATATACTTCATAACCTGGGTATCTTACAGGTGACTCTTCCTCAATAATTTTTTGCCATCCTACTCGAACAACTAGGGATAGCATACTAATGGCCTCCATTTACCAGGCTGTACAATGAGAGAGGCCCCAATGGCAGGCATTCTCTTTAGCAAGTTCTTCTGCACCAGCTTGCCCCCAAATATAGTTGTCTACCACCATCATGGTTTTCTAGAAGCAGATGCAAGTATGATTCTTTTTAAGGGCTTTTGGGTTTAACTGTATTAGTGACACCACTTTTTACGATTTTATCATTTTTTAGTTGTATTCTTATTATTTTAATCACTTTATTTTTATTTTTACCTTTTCAGTCTATAAATTCTGTAAACCTCCTAAAATCTGGCCAGTTTCCAGTAGTTAGCTACATTTCATAAATAAATACAGATAGCTCTCTATTTACAATTGGTTGCTTAGCAACCATTCAAAGTTACCCATGGCTTACTTACAACCAGAATCACATCGCATTTTGGGCATTTAGCAACCGGCTCACATTTACAGTCATTTGCAGTGTCCCATTGTCAATTATTGTTATTTAAGATTTTTTTTTGTTGAAAATCAGTACTTTGTTCCAATTTCTGGCAGAAAAAAATGCCCATTGTGGACAAGGATTTCCTTAATCTGTGCTTAAAGAGTCATGGTGGTGCAGTTGTTAGAATGCAGTATTGCAGGCTAATTCTGACTGCCAGCAGTTCAATTCTCACCGGCTCAAGGTTGACTCAGCCTTCATCCTTCCGAGCAGTGGTGGGATTCAGCCAGCTCACACCAGTTCAGCAGAACCGGCAGCTACTTTTTTGTTGCCCGTGCCCAGAATGGACTTCTGGAAGCAACATCCACACAGAGAACCAGTTGTTCACATATTTGAATCCCACCACTGCTTCCGAGGTTGGTAAAATGAATCAGATTGTTGGGGGCAATATGCTGACTCTGTAAACCGCTTAGAGAGGGCTGTAAAGCACTGTGAGGTGGTATATAAGTGTAAGTGCTAAGTGCTATTGCTATTAATGACTACAGTGACTCAATTAACAACCACAACAAAAATGGTCCTAAAATTAGATACAGCCACATAATATGGTTATAAGTCTAAGACTAACTGTAATGACATAAAATATTCCTGACTTGTCTACCCCCATACAGTTGTTTCTTTCTTAAGAATCATTATTTTCATATGATCTGGTGGTTTTTGTATGATCAGCAAGTGCATGTTCTAGTCACCAGGGTTTAATCAGAATGGCTTAATAACAGAATTTTCCAGACTGAGATCAGTGGATATCTTAATGCAAATCATGAGAGTTGCCCTTCATTTTCCTAAGTCATGAGTGGGGATTGCTCAATGCATAAAACTTGATGGGATCAGAGAAAGACTGCTAGTAGTAGAAGAATCCCATCAAGATTAATATAACAGTTTCCTCACTCCTGTCTTTGTTAGCTGGGCAGCAGAGAGGGACAAAACAGACCAGTCCCTTCAAACCATTTTTCAGTCCACCTCAGCAGTATAGTGATTACTCTTTAGCAACTTCTCAGAACTCTATACAATTTTTCAAGTGCAATTGTATCATTCGTGTAAAGCAATTGCTACTATATATTTGTAAGACTCTTGTTTTTCATGACTGCAGAGTAGCCATCACTCTCAGTCTGGGATGCCACTATTCAATCTTTGCATGCTCCTCTTCCAGTATCTATGGCTGTGTGTCTAGTTGATCCACCATGGCTTTAAAGGATTTTTTTTCAATCAAGACTTATTGCATCAAATACCTAACTAGGCTCAACCCTTCCAAGACCGAGTGGCTGTGGTTGCCGGCGCCTCGGCATAGTCAGCTGACTCCATCGCTGACTATAGGGGGCGAAATTTTGGCCCCCTCAGAGAAGGCACGCAACTTGGGTGTCCTCCTGGATCCACGGCTGACACTGGAAGACCATTTGTCGGCCGTGACCAGGGGGGCGTTCTATCAGGTCCGCC